CCTCCGGGCTACAAATATCAAAAGTTCCGACCTGTTAGCGAAAAAGAAAGCCCGTGGTTAGGAGGTGAAGTATAGAATGAAAGGAAAAACTTACTATAAACGTCGACAACTCGGCTCGGGACAGTCATCCCATCAATTTTGTACTCGGCTAAGAAGTCGACCGACTCCCAATCGCCGCCAACCCAGAACCATTCCTCTTGGAAACCGTGTAGTGTATCGGGAATCCCGGTGATCAGTTGACCGACCTTCAGGTCTCCTAGCGCCTTGGCAGAGCAAAAGAAACAGCCAGAAGGCGGCAAGCCGTCCCGCTCCCGACTTCGCTTAAAGAAAAAGATGCTCCGAAATTCGTTTATCGACGGGAACGGCAATTTGTTTTGAACACAGAGGACCAAAAGTCCTATGATTTTCTTCCAACTATTGGGCGTGATCTGGCTGATACCAATTCCCCAGTCCCGGAGGTAGTCGGTAATGATGTTGGGAAGGGGAAACCGAAGCCCCGATCTAATCGTTTCAGCAAACACCCCCACACAGCCGGGAGGGGGAAAATGAATTCTCTCGCCGGGATAGGGGGCAAACATCTTCACAGTGGGGGGAATTCGCGCCGACTTCCTCAATAACACCACGTCGGCATCCGTCATCGTACTGGGCTCGCCCGGGAATGAGACGCTGACGTCGGCCCAACGCCGAGGAGGACGATTCCAGAAGCCTTCACGGACGGGGAGATCACTCTCCACTTCGGCATCACCTTCATGGTTGTTCCACCGTAAGACCAAACGCTCAGGCAACAGCGGATCCCAGCGATAATACCCTAACGCCAACTCTAAGTCTCCCTCCTCATCGGACACGACTTCACGACCGACCTCGTCGGAAATCGTTCTGCTACTGCTCCCTTCCGCTCGCTCCGCCATCGTTTTGGCAGTCGATAGGTTCAAAGCAAAACAAAGGAAAAACACTAACTAATCGAAGATTGGGAAGAAAGAAAACAAGAGGACTTACCACAAACAACGGAGTCGGAGACGTCAAGAACAGAAGCCACAAAAGTAAAGAGAAAGTGAAAATCAAAAGCAAGGATCATGAGAGTTGAAAGCGCTATGATTCAAGGTGGTGGAGAAGGAGGAGTATTTATGCTCAGACAATATGACCGTTACAGGGAAACTGACGTTCACGAACCGCCGCCCTTAAAGATAGGGACGTTTCACGCTGTCAAAACGGCCGCACATCGACAAACCAGAACCTGCCACGTAATAAAGTGGTAGGAGATCGTGGAGACATGTAATGAAGGGGCGTAACCGCCCAAAATCGAGGAATCGGGCGCGTCGCTTCGCATCAACACGCGCCGTGCCAGAAGAGGTGCGAGCCTTGAGTAAGAAGAGTCGCATCCGCTGGCTAAGGACGACAAGTCGGCTGGAGTCCTAGAAGCTGGAGGAACTAACCAAAGACAATAAAAATGACGTCAAGGCGGACCAAGATGTACGTTCCCCCTTAACGTCAGGGGCCTCAATGTTGACATCAAATTCCTACGGACGTCGGATGAACGACACGTGGACGACACGTGGACAGGAAGAGAAAAAGGGGCCCGACCCGAGTAGAGCTAGGGTAATGTTCCCGAGCTGTATAAACCGACTTCGGAGGCCTTACTGTGTCAAGATACCGACCTTACTGCATAGATGATCTCAAAAATGGGCCGACGTCGGGACCGACAGACAGCATTAAATGCACGTCCATCAAGATAGCTGAGGGCCACGTGAGGACATCATTGCAAAGGGGGCCCACTTGCTGAAAAGGTGCTGGGTCCTGTCACACTGCATTAAATGCCGCCGCATCCCCCTCAAAAGACGAGCCCACGGTTACTATAAATAGCAGTATTAAACACAATACGAGGATCTTTTTCCAACACATTTAATTCTGCATTTATCACCTCGGTCTTGTAATATTCTGAGACACAATTGTACTATTGAAAACCGACCTCAAGTCCTGGAAACCGACTTGAGCCAATCCCGAATTATTCCACGCATTAACCAATAAACTCGTATTATTCCCACGCAAGTCAAAGAAATTAATAATAAAAAAGGTTGATCAAATCCGTTTATCAACAACATTATTATTATCTAGATACATATCAAAATGGATGAATAAAAAAAGTCAAAACGACGTATAATTTAAAACGGAGGGAGTATATAACATGCATAATGCAACATGTTTTTTTTTTTTTTTTTNNTTTTTTTTTTGCAAATAAAATATCCATATTCATTCAATCAAAGTCATAAATCCGATACATCACGAAAGAAAAAAGAGAAAAACGACGGCATAGAATCCTTCCACAAGAAAGAATCTGTAGCGTCTACAGCCCATTTAGCTATGTTATGAGCTACTGCATTATTTGCTCTATCAACGTGACTACAGATACTACAATTAAGGGATAACAAAAGCTCGATAATATCCTCAAACACATGTTGCAACGGGTTATTTGGGAGTTGGTCAGAAATACCACAAATGACTGAAAGAGCATCAGTCTTAGCAGCTTGAATCGTGAAGCCCGAGTCTAAGATAAAACGAAGTCCAAAACGTAGGGCCAGAGCTTCCGCAGATGTCGGGGAAAATACATATAATTATCTTTTAATATTGAGATATAAGTTAATGATGCATATTTCCACCCCTACTTTGTCTTCCCTTTCAATATTTTCTTTTTTTAGCAATTTTACATGAGATCTCTCCACTTGAAGTTGAAATAAAAATGTAAGACCCAAGAGCGCTTGAATGAGATGACTTGAGTCTTTTCCAGCTTAACCATGGTCTCGTGTTTGAGTCCTGGGAATACAGCAGTGTTAAAACTCTTGAGGGAGAATTTTGCCGCCCTTGTGGTCCTACTCGGCTCGATTCCAGATTAGTCGATTTTCCTGTGGATTTGGAAACTGGAAGGTCTCTGTATAAAAAAAAAAAATGTAAGAAGATACCTGTGTATGTCTTATTTCATGAACTTATTATAAGCTTTTTCATATATATATATATATATAAAGGGAAGAATAAAAAACTTCGAGATAAAAATAAAATAAAATTTGGTCAAAAGTAGATAGTGGAATAAAATGCTTATACATCTATGCCACTAGAGACATAATGATATTTTTAAAGCATAATTTGTCCAAACTTAACAGTGCATAGTAATAATATAATATAACTTTTTCATGGGGTGGAATCAATAGCTGGGCCTGCGGATAATTTGTAAAGGGATCAAGAAATATAAAATAATAAAAGAAAAAAATATATATAATTATATTTATATTAAAAAAAAAAAAAAAAACTAGTTGGGCTTTACCTTGGCTAACCCTGCTTTTGGTGACCTTAACCTGTGTGAAACCGTATCCGTTTTTCTTCATTTCTTATATGGTATCAGCCAGATTCACCCAGCCGAGTTAGATTTGGGCTACGTGGGACCGCACTCGTTTTGCCCCCGTTTCTTACAACAAGAAACTATAATATATATAATTGCCATTTGATGTATAAGAAGAAATAAATTACCTCAATGGTTTTGTTAATCTAACTGGACCCATGCATCTAAAAGAAAAAAAATGCCAAGTGAATTTTCCTTTTGCTTTCTTTTTCTTTTTTTAATATATATTTTGTTCTTTCTCCTCCCCCAATCATATATTTTTTTTTTTTTTTT